CTAATCATGACCAATTGTGATATTAGTTATAATTTGATTATAATTTATTGTGACGTTAGTTATAATTCATTGTAATGTTGATTATGACATTATTTTGATTATGATTCAAAAGGTCAATGGTTATACCTTATGTGGTATTTGATTATGATTCAATTATTTTATTTTATTTTAATTATGGCTGAAAATGATCTAATATGTTTATCGGTATCCGCAGATTTTTTTTTTAAGAAGTTATTCATAACCATACATACAATAAATATAGTAAACGATTAAACATGAAACTCCTCTGCCCATTGCTTTCCAAATTATACATGAAACTCCTGATACAACTTTTGGGTGAATATAGCTACTTTGCACATCATGCCCACCTAGAGAAGCTACTTACATAGAAAGAAAAGAACACCACAAAACACATTTTGACAAGGAAGCAATGGAGGCAAATCAAGACATTCTTATAGTGTCCTTTGGATTGCCAACAATGGAAGCAGGGCATACCTTCAGTTTCAGGAGAGCTTCCATTCAGCTCCAAGCTCAACCTCTAATCTAATTAATTACAAGGTACGTGTGCTGTAATACTATTTTTGTCACTTTTTTATATATTTTTTTGGGTTTTGCCAACTAGTGCCTCTAAGGCACAAAAAAAGAAAAAAAATAATAGACATGTTTCACAAATTTAGATCCACTTTTTATTGATTTCAAACTGATTATAACATTTTTACTTATTCCAATACACTTTTCACAAATTCCAATACAGTTTTCATAATCTTTGAATTTTTTTTTTTTTCAGTATATTTGTCTTTAACTTTACCCTCCCATCTTTATGCACATATTGATTTCTTCCTATGGAGTTGGCAGTCTCTAAAAATCTGTGCTTTTGTACACAAGTAGCGCTCTAATATAAAGATTCTGAACTCATTTCCCTAAAACCAAAACAAGGGATCAATTCATATTCATTGCTTAAATCTGATAGAAATCTTGTATAAATGTTGAGAGCTGTTTATAGCATTCTTTTGTTTCAATTAACAGGGCAAAAATGCAAGGTTTTGTCCGAGCAGTACGGTCTTGCCATGAAACACTTAAGCTTGCAATTCTACAGCATTCACTTGTGAGGGATACAACTGAGATGAACAAAGTATTCTCGCGATGTGGGCGTGTCACCTCCTCTCCTCCTGCTGCTATGCATCAGAAGGGTTTAGAGAACACGACAGTGGCAGATGTGTTGATGACAAAGGGAGGCGAAAAAGTTGAGTCTTGGCTATGGTGCAGCACTGATGACACCGTCCATGATGCAGTGAAGCAAGTATGTTTTTTACAACACTTGAACATAAATTAATAAATTTTCTTGTTGATCTCAATTTGATGAGTTTTGATTTGCTAAAGTTAAAATATCTCAACTTCACCATGAAGTTGATCCATTATCTAACTACTTTGAACTCACTTCTGTAATCTTACTCATTCATCTTATAAAACTAATTGAGAAAATTATTCATGTTAAAAATTAAGTTAATTCGATATCGATTGTCATATTATTAAATAATTTTTATCTATATAACCTACATATTTTTAAGAATATAAACATCCATGTATTATAATATATATATATATATATATATATATATGTATGTATATGTGATTTGATCATGTGATTATTTATGTTTGATCAACATGTTCTCATATTGTCATATGAGATGAACAATTAGTCCCAAAATGCACAAACTTCACCCATGAAATTAAAATCTTCAATTTTAGCAAATTTGAACTCCAATTTAATCATGTTATCTTTTATCACAATGGTGCAAAATTGTAGATGGCACAAAATAATGTTGGATCTTTAGTGGTTCTAAAACCAGGAGAACAACAAATGATTGCAGGAATCATCACAGAAAGAGGTAGTTTCATCAGCAAAACTAAAATAAAATTGGAGTATGTTTGGTAATGTTTGTGTTTATAGTTCTTTTGTTTATAATAATAATAATAATAATAATAATTGAAAATTGCAAATAAAAATTCATTTGATATTTATTTTTATTTGGACAAATTATACCGGTAATTCCTATACTTTTGCATTTGTGTCATTCAAGTCCCTATCATTTCAATTGACTCGATTTTGATCTTGAATTTATAATTTTGCCTTAATTTGGTTTAATTAATTACAATTATTAATGTTTTTTTTTATTTCTGAAAAATGTGTACATCAACGACATTTGTCATACTTTTATAAGCAAAATTATAAATGTGTTCAACTTAATAAGTTAATTTCAATCAATTTAGTGACAATTTTTTTGCAAAATCCTTAATCAGTAGTATCAATTGGACCAAATTACCACAATTTCACATTAAGAGTTAATTACACTTTTCGTCCTTATAGTTTGACCCAAATTTCACTTTATTCTTCATGATTTCAATTTATACAATTTGGTCCTACACTTCAAGTCTAGTTTCAATTGGTTTATTTTGTCTAACTTGAAATTGAAATCAACAATTTATGAACACTTGTCAATCTTTTAAGGTTTCAATTTGGTCCTTTCGGTTAAATTGAAGGTTAAAATTAATAATTTTGAGATACTTGTCAATTTTCTAAAATAAACATGTAGACAAAATTAACAAAAATTTAGACGGAATGACTAAATTAAAACTTGACTTAAAGTTTAGGGACCAAATTGTTCAAATTGAAATTATAGAGACTAAAATAAAATTCGAATCAAATTATAAGGGTGACAAGTGTAATTAATCCTAAAATTAATGATCAAAATCGGGCTAATTGAAATGATAAAAACCAAAATGACACAGAGAGAATGCAGGGACTATCAATATAATTTTCTTTTTTTCAAAAACTTGTGAACAGTTTACAAAATTTACTAAATTTTTGTAATCACAAAAAAATTGATTTCACTTGTGGCCACCACCTACCACCGCTCATCACAACCACCGGCCATCATCGCCTGTGACCTCCACCAATCACCTTTAGCCACCAACTCTTACCGGAAACCCACTTTGTTCGTCACCTCACTACCTCTGGTGGCTAACCACCACTTTTAGTTGTTGGTAACCACCTTCAATCACTGCCAACCACCTCCAACAACCACTTTTGACCACCATCTACAACTATCGACAAACAACCCATTATGCTTGTTTTGAAAATTAGTTTTTGAAATACATGTGTACTAAACCTGTTTTTTGTTTTTGTTTTTGTTTTTACCAAAAATAAACAATAAATTGTAAGCTTGCCAAATGGACCCTTCGGTGGAGGTTTCTCTTGTCAACAAGACCATTTTCAAACAGTAGTAGAGAATTATAAATGCAGCTAACATGTTAATTGTCGATGGTGGAATCAAATGACAAAACACAGACTATCTGCGGAAGGTAATAGCAAAGGACAGGCCTCCTAAATACACAAAAGTCAGGGAAATCATGACTGATCAGGTTTTCCCAGTTACCGAATACTATCTATTTTCTCAGGAAAAAGAAAAAATTACTCTCTCGTCTTACCCAGCTTTTCATTCTTGTATATATTCATCAATCAGCATAAGTTGATAACAGTGACATCCAATACCAACATTCTTCATGCAATGCAGCTTATGACAGGTAACATAAACATCTTGCTGATTTTTTGAGTCTGACAATTGACATAATTTAAATTGTGGCAAGCAAAATTAATTTTGACATGATTTGATGTTGACAGAGAATCACATTCGGCATGTTCCTGTAATAGATGAAAACATTGTTGGGATGATTTCAGTTGTTGATGTTGTGCGAGCGGTGGTAGAGCAGCAGAGCGGGGAAGTGAAGAGGCTGAATGAGTTCATTAAGGGAGGATATTCTAAAAATCTTTGACAACATTCTGTTTCGACAATCACTTCACACCATCAGCCTTTCAATTCTAATTTATAGCACAAAACATATGTATTATGCACACATGAAAACATTAATGACAATCAAAAAAAGTTGAAGTACTTATTTGATGTCATGGTGCCTCAGTCTTGATAGTTGAACGTAACTGTGAAAAATTACAAGCAGGAAACCAAAAATACTATGTTCATGGTGTTCTATCTCCTCATATGAAGTAACAACATTTGATGCTTAATTTAACCACCAGGTCCTTGTAGATATGAATAATAGAAACTGCAGAAACAATGCAGAATTAACAAACATGTTTGGATTTAAACAAAACAGAACAAAAGCAAAAAACCAAACACATGGAATCTATTTTCTTAGAAAATTAAACTGCCAGTGAAATATATAGCTCTTGGAATCCCAAATCACCGCACTATTGATAATTGTACACATCAAATCTTGATTTAATTACTCAATTCTTATTAAAAAAAACAGACAAAACGAATAGGACTGTAAAACTAGTTTAAGACTGCAATTTACACAACTACCACAGCTGAAAGTATAAGATATAATCAAGAGATACAAAAAATGACCTTCTGCAAACTAAGACAAAGCTCTGTTTGAAAGTAGATAACCTTATTAAACTCTGTTCAGAAGTAGACAACTTTAAACTCAGTCCATACAGGCAACCAATGCATGGTGATTTTCAAAATGGAAGCGATGTATAATAATTTTACGGGCACAAGAAGCCTTGACAACATTCTGTTTCCACAATCTCTTCACCCATCAAGCCTTTCGATTCAATTTATAGCACAAAACATACGTGATGCACAAAAGAGAAAACATGGATAACAATCAATGAAAGTCAAAAGTACTTATTTATTGTCATGGTGCCTCAGTCTAACACTGGCACATATAAGCAACAATATGGGCTCATGGTGTTCAATCTCCTCACAGGAAGAAACAATGCAAAATTAACAAAGATATTTGCACTCATGGACTTCAAACAAAGCAGAACAAAGCAAATCCAAACACCCAGGATCTCCCTTTTTTAGAAAATCAGACTGCCAGTGAGCTATAGCTATTGGTATCAGATCTGTAAAATGAGAACCCTGAATTTCAACATCCAAGGGCAGTGGTTTCTCATATCGCTGCACTAGTGATTATGATATCAAAAGCTTGATATTAATAATTCTTATTAACAAAAAGATCAAACAATTTGGACAGTAATCTCAATTGGAAATTATGACAAAGCTCTGTTCCAAAGTAGACAACTTACTAATCTCAGTTCATACAGGCAACCAATGCATGGTGATTTTCAAAATGGACAAGATGTATAACAATTTTATAAGCACAAGAACTGTGCCAACTGCCACTAAGAGAGGTTTGGATAATAATGTTCTGAGGAGCTCAATTCACTCCCAGTCAGTTGCATCCCGCTACCATGCAGTGTTTTGAAGTGTATTCCTCAATGATTAAAAAGACTACCTACCTCATTGTTGGTCTGTTGTGCCGCAAGGCTTGGGATGCCATCAAGGCCACCCTTAGATTCTCTGAAGCAGAAAAGCCCCGAGCCTCCATCCACCCAAGCATCCTTCGAGCATCCTGGACAAACCTTCCGTCTAAAAGCCCGCGAATAATCCTCTCATACTCCTCCGGCCCCAACTGATCCTTTTTAGCCTCCACAAGCCCTAGGGCTTGAAGAGCTTTTTTCTCTACCCCAGCCTTCGAGTACATTTCACAAAGGCTTATATGAACCTTAAATGGAGGATTCTCACCCTGCTCAGCAATCTTGCCCAACAGTTGCTCAGCTTCATCAAGCAGCTGCAATTTAGCCAACCAATCCACAAGCACACTGTAAGTGGCAACACCCAGTTCAAAACCATCCTTCTCAAGCTCCAATAGAAGATTCAATGCCTTATCCAATAAATTACATTTCTCATAAGCCGCAATCATACTAGCGGTGCACCTATCATCGGGCCTGTGTCCAAGTTTAATCATGTAGTCGAAATTCTCCCTCGCCTGATCCGGGTCTTTCGCTTGCCCAAATGCCTCAACAAGCAATGTACAAGACTCCAAACTGGGTTGGAACCCAGCAAACTGCATCGTGGTAGCGATTCTTTGAGCTCCACCAACATCGCCACGCTGGGCAAATGAACCGAGCAATGCCATGTAAATCTCTTTTGTGGGTTTCATGTCCCTTGCTTCCATCTCTCTCATCAGTGACTCGCCCAACTTCGGTTGTGCGGCCTTCACATATGCCATGATCATTGAGTTGTAAATCCTCATGTCCGGTTGAAAGCCTTGGCTTCTCAAGTTTTCAAACGCCTCTTTCGCACGGCCAAGATTACCTGCCTTGCTGTACATGTGAACCAATACTGTAAATGTGAGAATGTCGGGCAGGATGCCTTTTTCATTCATGTTCTTAAGAATCCTCTCTGCATCTTCTAAACGGTTCTCTTTAGCATGGGCCTCAATGAGCTTTGAATAGTCATGACTGTTAGTTTGAAATGATTCTTCTCTGAGAACAAGTTCTGCAACCTAGACATAGATCAATTAACAGGAAATTTAAGATCGAAACTCAAAAGCAATAATTACAGGAAATTTTAAAAGAACACAGGTTTATTGTCCATACTATGCCTACATTTGCAAATCTGCAGCATGTAAGCTTATCTAAATGTTTATGACAACTTTATGATAAAGAAAAAAATTAACAAAAAATTTAACAAAAAGAAAAAGGGAAGCACATGCAAAACAAAAAGTATGCCAAAAGATAATCTCTTAAGTTCAGTCAAAGAATACCTAGTAAATGGTTTGCACTAAAGAGCAGATACAAATCATAGCAAACCACGGTTTAGACATAAGACAATTATACAAATAAATTGGCAATTTCTGTGAAACCATAAGAAAACTATAAGAGAGGCGGCACATGTCAAGAAAATGAAATAAATGTATTATTCTCACATGTAGGGGCCAAACTCCATTTCTGGGTCATCAGGAAACATAATAGTGAATGCATGCTGACCAATCAAATTCAATGATATATATAAGAAAAGCTATGGGCTTGCAACGGCATATGTTAAAAACAAGCTTAAAATTATACAAATTTACAATACAAATAAAAAGAAAAACCACCAATGAGTTAGCTTCTGAAACTAACCTACAGAAAAATGTTTTAAAATAGGTATAGAATGCAATTTGTTGAGCACCCAACTAAAAGTATGTGAATATAGATACCAATATAGACAGTTTGTTTTAGATAAATTAACCTTCACACCAGAACCAAAAAGCCATAATTGGAAACATATTTATAATTTTTTTACTGGCCACGTATCCTGTGATTATGCCATCTAATTTAAACTTTGACAGAATATTCCAAGATGGTGGAAATTTAAGAAGTCACTCCACCCTCTACAATGTTTTAGTCGTTCTAAAAGTGCAGTGGTGGCACTATAATATTATACATGGCAGCAAAATTAAGCAACACAAACTTCTCTTCCTAATCAAGCATGAGCCATGTAAGGAACAAAATTGGAGTCAATGGACCAAGATTACGATTTTTACTACACAGTAAAATATGGTTGGGACCATGATTGAAAAATAAAATTTAAAAAAAAAATGAATGAACACCTAAATTTTATGATCATATATCCATATTATAGACAACAATTCATGTAAGTTCAAAACCAAATCACAAACAGTTCTTATTATAACTGCATAGTACTATGTGTTTGCTTTTGCAGGAAAGAGGAACCGATGGGGGTTGAAGGAAGGAGAGAAGGAGGAACCGATGGTGAAGGCTGGAAACCAGTGATCTATAGGTGAAGAAAAGGAGCTAAGAGAATATCAGAGAACCTGGTGACTATCTTCGTGGATAATCTTCCTCAGGAGATGAAGTCTAAAGAGCTATTTGATATGTTTACAAGTTTTGGAGTTGTTCATAATGTATTCATTTTGTATAAGAGGAGTAAAGCATGGACAAGATTTGGTTTTGTTAAGTACGATTGCAAGGTTGCGGCAGGAGTCACGATCCAGAAAACGGATGGTATCTGGTGCAATGACAAGGTACTAAAGGTGAAGATCGCTGATTATGACAAAGAAAAAGGAAGGGTGCACCATGGACAAGAGAAGATGGTTAACTGGTGGCAAGCCAAGCAGGAGAGAGAGCTTATTACTGAAGCAAATGGGAGTTCAAGGAGGTGGAAAATGGCCAGGTTCTTTAAACAAGTCTTATGCTGAAGTTCTGAAAAGTGGTGGATGCAAATAAAATAGTGTTTTAGCCATTGACGCATTGGATGAAGGGAGTGAATGGCTGCACAGAAGCATTACAGTCCGATTGAAGGACATGAGTTTGCTAAGGGATTTACAGAAGATATTATTACAGGCCAATGTTCAAGGAATACAAGTGAGGATAGGAGGGGGCAATCTAATTGTACTCACTTTACAATCAATAGAAGGTGTGATTCAGAATTTCAGTAAGATAGCAGTGATGATTCAAGAGATGTGTGATGAGATTAGAACTTGGAATGAAGATGTGAACCCAGAACCATCACGTCTTGTTTGGCTGAACTTTTATGGAATTCCTCTCAATGTTTGGAATGAATCAACATTTACCAGAATTGGATCCACATGGGGAGAGATCATTCAGTTGGACGATGATACGGAAGAACTATGTCCTTTGATTGTGGAAAAGTGTTGATAAGCACAAAGGTGATGGAAAGTACAAATGAAGTAGTGGAAGTTGTTTGTAAAGGGAAATAAACCTATGTAAGGGTGACAGAAAATCATATTCAGTGTTCAATGAATAATATATTAAGAGAACAGTGGGGCTGAGGATGCTATGCTATGGAGTCGGAGAGATCAGTTGCAGAGATAGCAAGAACGTCAGAGAAGAACAGAGTACAGGTGGCAGTTGAGGTGGATCATGAGGAGGAGGTGGACCAATGCATTGTTGGGAATCGACAAAGAGCACAGAGAGATGGACAAATCAGCTTGCTGGGAATCGACATCAATAGTGGAGGAATCATCATTAGATGATCTTGGAAATGCAAAGAGGGACCAGGCACGTCTGGAGGAAGGTGAAGAGGTGGAGAGGGGAAGGTGAATGGTCACATAAAAATATTACAAATGCATTAAATTCAATGGGAAATGGGTTTATGAAAAGTATGAGTGGGTCATTGGGCTCTTTTCCAGGTATAAATCTGGAAGTAGACTTGGGCCCAGCTAATTTCAAATTTGGGCCTTTACCTATTAATCCGTGTGTTATAGAGGAATTGGAGGATAATGGGCTGGGCCATTTCAATGAGATATGTGACCGTGGGTGTACTACTGAGAAGGGGGAGTTAAATGAGACGGGTCAAATAGTCCAAGAAAGGGCGAATGGACCGGATGATGTAAGTCAAGAGGATGAGATATCTAACAGCTCAAATGAGGAGAGAGCTAATAAACTCAGATCTAGTGGAGGGATACAAAGAAAAATGGGATTTCTGGACGAAGGGTCAAGAAGGAAGAAAGCTTTGCCAATGGAGGAAGTTTCAGGGGTTGTAAAAAATTTAGGGGAAAGAGGAAGGGTTCAAAGGAAAAAGAAGCAGAAAGGACCTACTTTAAGAGCAGCAGCAGCAGCTATGTCTCTGGTGGCTTCAATTGAATCAGGGTCAAGTAGTGGTCAAATACTTTCGAATGAAGCTCAAGCAACAATTCAGATGGGGAAATTATTAGGGGTGGATTTTGAGGACCAAGAGAATGAGGTTTTTAGCAAGATTATGGAGCTCGAGAACAAAGATATTGAACTGCTTCATTAAAGGAAGCAAGCTGGAGGTAAGTAATCTAGCTCTGGTTATTTACTTATTGAAGAGTTGTGTGGAATTAATTGTTGTTATTATGAAGATAATTTTGTCGAATATTAGAGGGTTGGGGAGAGAATTTAAAAGAAGAAAAATTAAGAAAGTGCTAAAAGAGAAAAAGGTGGATGTGCTGTTATTGCAAGAAACAAAGAGAGCAATGGTAACAAAGGATTTGGTACAATCTACATGGGTGGGGAATAATTTTGATTATGTAGAAGTTGGAGCTGATGGTAGTGCACAATGTGTACTATGTGTTTGGAACACTGAAATGTTTAGCATGGAGGAGTGCTGCTGTGGTAGGAATTTCATTGTCATGGTAGGAAAAGTAAACAAGCAGTTTGATTGTGTATTAACAAATGTGTATGCACCAACTGAGGTAGCTAGGAGGAATTCATTGTAGGAAAAACTTCCAAGAATTAAAGCATGTTTCAGTAAACCATGGTGCATGGAAGGGGATTTTAATGAAATCAGACATTTAGGGGAAAGAAAGGGATGTTCTAGAAGGGCAGTAGGAACTTGTGACTTCAATAACTTTATTGATCGATTTGAAGGTTCTGAATTACCAATGAAAGGGAGGAAGTTCACATAGAGTGATTCAAGAGAGGAGCAAAGATGGAGCAGACTTGTTAGGTTCATTCTGGAGGATGAATGGTTGATCAAGTTCAACTTTAAATGTTGGGGCCTGCCTAGTTTAATCTCAGATCATTGTACTATTCTTATGATGGAGGATGATAGAGATTGGGGTCCAAGATCTTTCAGATTTTTAACTCTTGGACCCTGCACCCAGGTTTCAAATCTTTTGCAGAAAAAGTATGGAAAGAGGCACACTTTACTGGAAGGGCTGGGTTGGAATGTTTGAAAAGGGCCTTGAAAGAATGGAATGTGCGCACATTTGGGAACATTAACAGCCAGCTGACAGTAAAAGAGGAAGAGCTGCATGGACTGGGCTTGATAGCAGACTAGGTCATTGTTGGAAGATGAAAGAGATAGGAGAGTCAAGCTTAAAGGTGAGGTCTGCTGAGTGGCTATGGCTCAGAAATCAAGACAGGATTGGACCTTGAGAGTAGATAGAACTACAAAGTTTTCCATTTGATGGCAAAAAATAGGCAAAACGTGAATCTCATTAACTCAATAACAGTTGATGGGGTGGTGAAGGAGGAACCATCTGAAATAAGAAATGGGGTGTGGTCTTGTTTTAAGAAACCTTTTTCAGAAACATGGAAGAGGAGGCAAAGATTAGGGGGGGATTTTCTGTTAATTTCTAGTTCACAGTGTGAAGCTGAATTGGAGAAGGTATTCACTGAGAATGGAATTATAAGAAGCATTGAAGAATTGTGAAGGAAATAAGGCCCTTGGGCCTGATGGTTTTAATATGTTGGGAACAAAAAAGTGCTTGAAATTTATGAAAGAAGATTTTATGGAGTTTTTCAAAGAGTTTTATCAACATGGCAGATTGGGAGGGGGTATCAACTCAACCTTAATAGCTCTGATTCCAAAGAATGAGAATCCTACATGTTTAGCAGATTATAGACCTATGGGCCCATTTCTTTCAAAGGTAGGTTGGGTGGGATTGTTAGTGAAGGGATTATTAGTGAGGAGACTATTAGTGAGAGAATTAAGAAAAATTGTGTTTGTTTGATAACCAATGGACCAACAATAATTCCTGTTTCTTTTGAGAGATATGAGTGAGATCAACCA